GTCATCAAACGTGTAAACATAAAACAGTGCAAATGAATTAATGCATATGTGTATGTTTGTGTGTGTATGTGTGTATGCACACATATGTGTGTATATGGATGTATATACACACGTGTGTGCATATAGATATGTGTATGTGTATACACACACACACAGTATATATACACACATACATACACACAAACACACATAGATACATACACACACACATACACACACAAATATATATAAACACACACACACACACACACATTTCCCAGTGAGAGCCACCCCTCCCACTCTCCCTTTCTTTCTTTCTTTCTTTCTGGAGATATGTGCATGTTTTGTGTTTTGGTTTTTTTTGCCTCCCACTGTTGGGTCCTTGCACTGTTTGCCTTGTTCCCTCTATGATAGTTTGACTATTTTTCCCAGTCCTTTTGTCTTCCAGAACACTGTCTCCCTTACCCACATAACTCAGTTTAAGGCCCTCCTGATCAAATTCTTGAGACTGTTGGCAAAAACGTTTCTTCCAACTGGTGTGAGATGCAGCCCATCCCTTGCCAGAAGTCTGCCCTCATGGAACCGCAGCCCATGATTTAAGACTCCAAATAGTTCTCGGCAGCACCATCTGCGGAGCCAGTTCTTGACATCTGCTATTTTCCTTTCTTGTCCTGGACCATGCCCTTCAACTGGCAGAAGAGATGAGATGACAATCTGTGCATCTATTTCTTTCAGCTTCTTACCCAGAACCTCATAATCCCTTCTGATGTTCTGAAGGCTGTGCCTTGCTGTGTCATTACTTCCCACATGGACCAAAAGGAAGGGGTATTGGTCAGTAGGCTTGACCAGTCTTGTCAACCTTTCTGTCATGTCTCGGATCTTTGCCCCAGGGCGACAACACACCTCCCGAGACATCTTGTCAGGCCCACAAATCACTGCTTCTGTACCCCTCAGCAAGGAGTCCCCCACCACAACCACACACCTCCTTTGAGGCTTAGCAGCGACTGTTCCCTGTGGTGGAACTCCCTGCTCTGTCCCTGAAGTCTGTCCATGCTGCTCTTCCTCATCTTCCTTGATAAGGGAAAGAGCTTCAAATCGATTCTGTAGCTGCAAGCGCCCAGAACAATCCCTGGTTTCCCTACTTCTGTGTGTGAAATTCCTCCAGCTGTCTACCTCCTGTGTATGTGAAGTAACCTTCTCTTCCCCAGCAACTTCCTCTGTGTAGTCCCCGTCCAAAACCGTTCCTTTCATCCTGTCCAGGAAAACCTCTTGCTCCCTAATATGCTGAAGTGTAGCTACCCATGCCTCCCGCTGCTGTCCTTTCTCCTCCAAGAGGGCTACCAACTTGACTTGGGGCATGTGAAGTTCCCCACATCTGTAGGCAAGAAGACAAATATCCCACAAGTGTTGCAGGTGACGGCAGCTGTCCCCTCAGTGTCCATACTGAGAAGTCTTAATGAGTCCTCCTCAAAGAAAATCCCTTGCTAAACACCAGTGTTAAAGGCTCCTGATGAACTGAACTTTTCACCAATCACTGCTGGTGATAAAAATTCATGCACCTCCTCCTTCTCTCTAGCAGGAACTGGCCTCAGTTTACAACAATCCTATTACACAGTTTTCTTGGCATGATCTGTTCAGAGGGCCTTTCTTCAAAGGCCTTGTTTTTCTCTGATGATGAGTGTAACTTGCCTAAGGTCACCCAGTGAGTTTCCTTGGCTGAGTGAGGATATGGCACCTGGTCTCCAGTTACAGCACATTGGCCCTCTTCCACACACTTACTTCAGAGCAAAAAAGTAAGTGTAAAGTTCAGCTGCATACAATGCAGCTAATGTACCATGTCATTTAAGCTTTAGTCCATTCGCTAATATGAGTGAGGCCACGGCTTGTATAATCCAGAGAATGCATCTTCTAATTATTTCCTCCTTTGAAGCCAATCACAAGCCATTTCAGGTAACAGATGCCGGGAGTGTTAGAGAGGAGCTGAAGAACAGAGATATGCACCCCATAACTTTCTGCCCTCAGGTGTGATGGAAGCTGTTTTTTCATTAATACTGATCAAGTAACATTCACAGTCCAGTCACCATCTGCACATGGGAGGGGAGGGGAGGGGAGGGAGCAATATTGTTATTCACTTTAGGGTGTAAAATGTATTGGGCTTGTTTTATGCTTAAAACAAAAATGTAAGTGAGAAGTACATACACAAAGCTTGGAAAAATTATTTTTAAAAAGTAGTTCATTCCTGTTGTTATTTTTGTTGTTGTTAACTGTCCTCGAGTTGATTGCAACTCATGGCAACCTTATAGATGAGACATCTCCAAGACCCTCTGTCCTCCACTGCCCTGCTTAAATCCTGCAACCCCTTAATACCCATGACCTCCTTAATAGAGTCCATCCATCTGGCATGCGGCCTTCCTCTCTTCCTACTTCCCTCCACCTTCCCCAGCATTATTGTCTTTTCCAAACAGTTCTCCCTTCTCATTATGTGTCCGAAATACAACAGTCTCAGTTTGGTCATCTTGGCTTCCAGGGAGGTTTCCGGCTTGATCTGCTCTAGGACACATTTGTTTGTCCTTTTGGCTGTCCATGGGATCCTCAGCGCTCTTCTCCAGCACCACATCTCAAATGAATTGATTTTCTTCCTATCATCTTTCTTAAATGTCCAGCTCTCACATCCATACATAGTAATAGGGAATACGATGGCTTGTATGATTCTAACTTTTGTGCTGAGTTGTATATATGAGTGAGGCCATGGCTTGTATAATCCAGAGAATGCATCTCTGGAGGAATGTGAGGAAAACAACTTGTCCTCTTGAGCCTTGCCCATCCTGGCTGGCCATCCGGGGGGGGGGGGATGCGTTGAGGAGGTTCCTTATGGATATCGTCAACGCGTCCTTCAGGGAAGGACATATTCCATCATGTTTAAAGGAAGTGGCTGTTAGGTCGCTTCTGAAAAAAACTTCCCTGGACCCCCTGGATATGAATAATTATAGGCCAGTCTTTTTATTACCATTTTTGAGCAAGATAATCGAGAGGGCAGTTGCTCTTCAACTCCCAGTGGTCTTGGATGAAAACGATTATCTAGACCCATTTCAAACTGGCTTCAGGACAGGCTTTGGGGTTGAGACTGCCATGGTTGCCTTGACCAACGATCTGCGTCTGAGCCTGTTGGTGCTCCTAGACCTCTCAGTGGCTAGACCTCAGTTTGAGCCTGTTGGTGCTCCTAGACCTCTCAGCGGCTAGACCTCAGTTTGACCCTGTTGGTGCTCCTAGACCTCTCAGCGGCTTTTGATACGATAG